GAGAAAAAATTCTAATTGCTTGTAGAATCCTAAATATGGAAAAAATAAATATTCAGAATTATAGTTGATTCCAATATCCCAGTTTAGGAAAATAATTAAATGATCACTCCTACATATTAGAAAAATATTAAAATTACTATATTGTCCAGTGTGAACTCTATTTTTAAAGGGTAAAAAAGGCGAACGACATTTCGCTAAGGGCCTTCGTGCTTTTAATATAGTATAGATATAGATAATAATAGATATAGATATAGATATAAATAGTCATTAAATTAATTTCCTAATATTTCGGATTAGACAAAGTTTTGACCACTTTGCATTCCTTTTAGATTTAGGCCGTATTTATTAGTTGATATCCTTTTATACGCTAAATATCAACATTGTTATTCTATTAGGTATTTAANAAATATTCTGCTTCTACTCAAAAGTATTTAGAGCCCGTTTGGATTAGCTGATTTAAAGTAGCTAATAAGCTTTAGGTGGTGAAAAGCACTTTTAAGTGCTGAAACTGATTTAATGAATAAGCAGTTACGTGTTTGGATACAAGTGCTGAAATTGATAATAAGGTGCTGCAGTATTTGATAAAAAACTGCTGATAAGCTCTTTTTTTTTGTTAAAATGACTTGAATAACCTTAGAACTGTTTACACTTATAAGGGCGTAATTTCTTCAAAATTTTAGATTCCAGATAGATCCAAATACAAAATATTCTATTTGTCATTTTATTTTAAATACAACTGTGATTAGATAAGATAACTTTTATGATAAATAGTAATTTATTTTATGATAATCATATTATTATAAGTTATAATAATTAATAAATTAACAAAAGTTTTTCAGTAAAAGAATAAACCTAATAAATAGGATAAAATATTTGAAGAGAAACATTATCTTCATCACCACAACACTTACAAAGCAATACACAAAAAATTTGTTGTGTCCCGTTTATTACATACAGTTCAAAAATTAATACACAATCACATAGATACAAATATGCAAAAGAATAGAGAATTTGCTTACCTCAAATAGACTATCAGAATTACAGACTTGAAGAGGAGGGGGGAGGGGGAGGGGGGGTTAGGTTGAAAAAATACGTGAGGAAGTGAGTATCGATGTAGGAGTTTTATTTTGAAAAGGAATATTTTAGGGATAAAATAGTAAAAATCTTGGTCAAACTTAAAGTGCTTATAAGCTAAAAATTCATAAGTTGGGGGTGACCAGCTTATGGCTTTTGGCTTATTTTTGGCTTATAAGCACTTTTAACTTTTGGCTTATCTCGGTTTGGACGATTATTTTATAAAATTTGTACCATACCAATTTTTTGGTTATTCTATTATGTATAACCAAAATTAGACTTTTCGAAATCGTCCCAATCATGTCGGTTTCACTTCGATATCGGTACGGTTCGGTTAATTTTCGGTATTTTTTAAAATGTCATGTAAAATTCACCAATAGAAGTAGAATGCAATAACATATGTTCTTTTATAGGACTTATCAAAACTCTCTAGACATTTTTACTGTTTAAAGGCTGATAAATTAAAAAACATGAGAGATGGCTAGAGTACAGATCCATCAACTATTCGACAGCAACGTAAAAGAAACCAAGTAAAAGCAAAGAAAATATAAATCACACGAGTGAAAAGATATTAACCAAGCCGGGACTCAAGAATAAAGTTTATATTAAAATATTCAAAAAGATAAATCTAAATTGTATGAAAGCAAACATATTCAATACATTGTAGTTTGCTACTCATAATTGCTAGAACACTTTGTTTCTTGCTAATAAAGATACTTGAAATAACTTAGTTTAAGTATAAGTAGCATAATAGATTTTAGGAATTAATATTTTGAGTTTAATTACTTGTTGGCTTGTAACAGTTTTCATAATTCCAAGACCCAATGAAAAATTTAATGCTTTATTAGTTTTAAACTTACTATATAAATATATTTTCCACATATAAAATTTATTCGGTACGGTTCGCTAGTTTTTCGGTTTATTTTTATAAAATAAAAAACTTACCCTAATTATCGGTACGGTTATAGATTTATATAAAAACCTACGATTTCTTTAAAAGAAACCTAAAAATCGGTTCGGTGCGGTACGATTCGGTCGGTTTTCAAATATCCAAGGATGTGGTTAGGCAAAAAAATAGTAAGAATTTTTCAACTGATTAAACTCTTTAAACCTCTGTTTTAAAATACAGAAATGGGACTCGCCCCGAGGCGGATGACTCGTAAAACACTCCTGGGCTTATGTGTGGGGCTTAGTTCCGTGAGACTTATGCCTCGGCCATCGGGGCTTACACCCCAGACACGCCCAACGCCCAACGCTCAACGCCCAGCGTACTGGGCTCGCCTATTAGAACTTTATGCAATTGTAAGTAACTAACTTTGTAAATCCTCAAATTTTCTTAACAAATCGTTGACTATTCAAAATTACTTTTTTCTTAATCATAAATCATTAAGTTGAGAGTATTTTATGTCATAATTAAAATAAAAATTTATTGCACGTTATCCACTAAGACTGCTGTATTAGTTAATTTTAAATAAATCTTTCATTTAAAAAGTATTTATTTATTAACTTTTGTTATGTCTTTACTATATACTAATCCATAATTTTTTAAAAGTTATTTTTCTAAATAATTTTTTTCATTTACCAGATACAATACTTATTAATTTAATAGCTTAGTATTAGCTAGTAACTATTTACAAATAATTAGTTATCATGATATTGTATGGTGAATTATGTGTCACTTTATTAACTTGTCGAAACTTAAAAATAAATGATGCTAGAGAATCATATTTAAATTGTGAATCATGTTTTTATATAAATTCTCTTTGAAAGAGAAAGCATATTAAATAAAAGGAGTATTTTAAGAAAAATTTTAAATTATAATATCGAAATTCTTTCAAGATTCATTAGACCTTAAGAGATACATATAAGATTTCGTATTGAATACATTACTTTTGATGTTTGAGTTGTAACGACGTCGTAGCTAATTTGCATATTATGATATATGTCATACTTTTCCTATTATTCATAGTTGAATTATAATTTATAAATATTTTAATATATTATTTATTACAATTTTGTGATCTTAATGTAATTTTTATAATTATTTTTTATTTTATACTATGTTAAAATTCTTGAAATTAGTAAAATTTAAAGATACGTGGGACTCACGCCCCATGTCTCAAGGCTTACGCCTCGCCTCACGCCTCACGCCCCCGCCTTTTAAAACATTGCTTCAAACTATCAGTTTAGAAGAATTGACCTTTTTCGTTTTTAGTGGAGAAGGAACCTTTTTTTTTCTTCTTGTTGAATAAAGATTCAAACTGGTGACATTGTAGTTCAAATTTTGCGCTACTGATCACTTAACTTTCACGTTGAGATAATGGGGAGACACATGAGAGCAATATATGATCAAATAGGGAAATTAGACGGTTAGATTCAAGATTAATTTGAGGTACATGGTTGGAAGGAACCTACACATAGAACTCAAGGATGTGTCGAGAAGAAAAAATGTGGGGAAAGAATGTAAAATGACATTTAACACAGACACATCTATCTTTTGCTGATTGGAATATGAATTGTGCTTCGGATAAGGGAGGTATTTAACTTTTGACTATAGGAGCATGATATGGAAAACAAGCCAATGATAACACAACATAAAGGATAGAATTGCATAGATGATTTAAAAAATATTTACACATTCATACAAATCATTCATAAGAATTGCAGCTGCATCTATATGACCTATGATAATGTTTTTCTGATATTGTAAAAAATGTAAATACCTTATCCTAAGGATATATAGCGGATAGGACATAATGCTTTAGGGTAGAAAGAGCAAAGAATCACACTACAAAAAAAGTGTGGTAATGTTGCCCAGCTTGGTAAGAATAGAATCATTTTCTTTTTATCCTTTTGGTTCATCATATACATGTGTGCACACAACTACTACTACTACTACTACTTCTACAACACAAGTCCATCAATCAAGAAGATATCAATGGAAAAAGGAGGCAACATTCAGAATTCTCAATCACCCAACATATGTAATCGCGTCTTCAACTTCATCATCAACATAATTTGGGTAACTATGGGTAATAATCATCCAACAGTATTTTATGATAAATCTACAAACCAAGTCCCTATTGAATCACCAACTGATTTAAATGGTGATATAGAGATCGAGTTCAGGCATTTGGAGATAGTTGGTGGAAACAACAAAGAGAAAGGAACAAAGAAGTTTGTGAGCATCAAAGAAATAGCTCAAGAAAGAAGTGAAACTAAGCAAATTCCTGGTGCGGCAAGAAGAAGACCTAATTCTCTAAATGTGACTTCCAACATTAATGAGAAGACAGAAGCCTTTATAAATAGTAAGAAGGAAGCTTTACGCAGGTCTTACACCGAAAACGACAAGAAAGCTTAGCTACCATATAACAGAGATTCTGGTTTCTTGATTTTGCCTGATCTGATTATGCTCTTTGATCAACTGTATACTTGTGTTATGCATAACAATTTTAATTAAAGCTATTGCTTTGGAAGTATATTGATCAACCAATGATTTTTATTTCTCGCTAATACTTGTCCTCTGCTTCTGTTCTGTCATTGTGGATCAAAAACTAAACACAAACTTCCAACAGCATCAAGACTCAACACTGTTCCTTTTATGATTTGCAGAAATTTAGCAAGTTTATTTCAAGTAAACTCTTTGCAGTATGTTCATAGTGTTAATTGGTAAAGACAATTCCTGCATTAAGCATGCATCATGCGGAACGAGTGAATAGAGCAAACTAAAAAGAATATAGGAGAACAGAACATATTGAGTCTTCTCCAAAGGTAATTAGCAGCAGGCTTGTACTAATTTAGCGTAGTACAATAAAATAATCAAATCATAGTTGCTGTGAATATCAGAGAGTCATCAGTGATCTTATTTAGATGACCATATATATATATATATATATATATATATATATATATAATATCCATTTCATAAACTATAAGAGGAATCAGGGAATTTCTTTGCTTCTAGCTATCTTTCTTGATTACATAAATTATCATGTGCTAGAAGCTAATAAAATAATCTTCCATCCTCCCTCCTCCTCTTTGCTTACTAAATTAGAAAACAAACACAAGTATCTATTCTTTTCTTTTTTTTGGGATAAAATTTCATTTTTTTTTTCCTTCCTTTTTTTTTACTTATCTGATGTTTGCTTCTCTTCCTAATGTAAAATACACTTCCCTCAAACCTTATATATTTAACCTGTGCCCCGGACAAAAGCGGATGCAGCCTATATTTAATGAGTTCAACTGAATCTTGTCATTAAAATTTCAACAAATATTAAATTTTGAATCCGTAGTTTCAGAAATACAATTTATTTTGTACTAAAAACCTTAAAGATTGATAAACCCATCAAGTTTATATCCTGAATCCGCATTTGGCTATAAATTGACACATCACTCCTCAAATGAATGTCTGGAGGAACGATAAAGATCGTAAGGAGCCCACAAATGATCAACACTACATGGTTTTCTTGAATCCAATCTCAACCATGGCTTACCTTTGCCACTCCAATGGAGTAGGCTAATAGGCCCAGGATGCAAACTCCTGCATTTACCTTCAATATTATCACCACCTAATCCATGTTGGTTCCATCTATGATCAATTGGCATTATATTTCCTGCCCATACAAGCAAGAATGGAGGCATAGAACCCAATTGATATATCCTCTTTTGCTTCTGCACAATCATCCAATCCTCAACTCTCTTTGTATAATTTCCTTGTCTCCACTTATCCACATCCATTACCATCACCCCTGTGTTAAAATAGCACGGTTTTCGCCCCTCAAATGTTCTTGGCATATATGGATCAGACCAAAATGTTTCTGTAAAATAAGTGGTAAAATTTGCATGACAATATTCTGGTGCAGCCAAAACTTTGTCACCTAAATCAACCTTCCATAATTTGGCAATGTCATCAACCATGACAAGGTCAGAATCAAGATAAATTACACGTTTCACTTCATCAGGAATCATATTAGCCAAGTATATTCTTGCATAATTCAAGGGTTGGTCTAAAGCTTGACGTATAGACTTGGAAATTAGGCCACGGACCCTGTGGACATCAAAGATGTAGACCTTAAAGTTGAGGTAGGGAAATGTGGACTTAATGCTTGAGAATACCTCGTGTTCATGTCTTACCCATAGAAAATGAAATGTTACATTTTCAGGGCAAGTGGAATGTTGGAGAATTGATAACAAAGCAGCCATGGTACCTCTTAAATAATTAGCATCAAGGGTCATGGCCACGTGAATCCGGTCCGTGGCCAAAGATCCACATGTCTCCCCATTGCGAAAAGCAGGTGCCTCGCGGAAGACAGAAAAGTCTGATCCAACCGGTCCATTTGCCACCTCTGGTTGATCAATAGGTTTTTGTACAATGGCATTGGTGGTGGTGATCAAGGAGGTTTGATGGGAAAGCAAGAGAGACAGGAGGCCAAGGAGAGGAAGAGAAGAAGAAAGGCTCCAAAAGGCCATCCAGCTCTTTGCATTTGAAATAATAATGTTAAGTTTAGGAAAAAGGAAAGAGAATTAGCAGCCATTGAAAGCTGGTTAAGAGAAGGTTTAGGAGAGGTTACAAATGATTGATTCATAAGAAGAAGAATTTTTTTTAAAAGTTGGTAGGATTGTGAGGGAGAGAAGAAGCTGCGGAGAATTCTTCTAATCACCTCTGCCTTATATATTCCATTCCCCTCCATTTGTATCACAAAACAATACTAGTACTATCTAACTAGCAATTCATTTTCATAGATTGACAAACGCTAGCCATTTATATTTTAAAGGATACGTAACAAATACTTACTCTTTATAAGTCATAAATTAAAGTAACTATATATATATACCTAAAAATACTTACTTTTACGCCATTATAAAGGAATTTATGAACTATTTTGATACATAATTATTTGATACTTATTAGTTTTAATCGCATACTTTTGTAATGTAATTTGAAGGTAGTAACACTGGTACTATTTTCAAGAGGGATGTTAGATCAATAACAAGAGGTAAAAATTGCACGGGGCGCCCTATTTGGTCGCCCTCATTTAACCTATACCCATTTTTAAAAAAAGTTTTAACTTGTACCCACTTTTTAAACAACTTCAGCCCCCTTTCTCCTCATTTCGTTTTCTTCTTCTTCTTCTTTCTTTTGTTGTTGTTGTTGGTGCTATGAAACTTCAGTTCATGGGATGATTGCCATAAGTATGTTTATCAGATTATTTAAAAATAAATTATAAATAATTACGTAAGTTAGTAGACAATAATTTGTGAATATTTTCACGTAATTATGTTCTTTTCACGTTTATTGTTTCCAAAATTTATGATTTAGATATTGTTGGCAATCTGATTACTTTATATTACTAATACACTATGAAAGAATAAGGTGATTATTTATCTAGTATGTTAGAAAGCTTTTTCAAAAACTTAAGCTTATATAGTGCTGAAGTTTTTACAAATGAACTAAATAACTTCAGCATCTTCTGCTGAAGTGTTTGAAAAAGCTTTATGACAAAACTAATGAATCTAGGACAAAAAAACTTCAACTTATTTAGTGCTGAAGTTTTACAAATGAACTAAATAACTTCAACATCTTCTGCTGAAGTGTTTGAAAAAGCTTTATGACAAAACTAATGAATCCAGGACAAAAAACTTCAGCTTATTTAGTGCTGAAGTTTTTACAAATGAACTAAATAACTTTAACATCTTCTGTTGAAGTTCGTATTGCCTTTGCTACTTCAGGCCCGTCTACTAGAATGCTGAAGTTTTGCGTGATTGCCTTTGCTACTTCAGGCCCTTCTACTAGAATGCTAAAGTTTTGCGTGATTGCCTTTGCTACTTCAGCCCCGTATGCTGAAGTTACGCGAAAAAGTGGGTACACTTGCAACTTTTATTGCAAAGCGGAGACAAGTTAAAACGTGACCCAAAAAGCGGATATAAATGCAAATGCCCCAATAAAATGGTAGAATATAAGTAAGAGAATTTTTCATAAAGCACTCTTTTAGTAGTAATTAGCCATCTATGGATACCATTTTCTATATTACGGATTATAGATACCTTTTCTGTGGTTATAAGATGTATTTGATGTATTTAAGCTATTGTATTTATGAATACAGTAGCAAAAATAGGCGTGAATCAGGGAAGTCCAGCTAATTAGTTGTTGTATTTGAGTGTATTCGTCTATATTCATGGAGTGAAACATGGGATTACAGCTGGACAGATTATTATATTCGACTGTATTGGCGGCGTGAAATAGGGGATTACACTATTTTTAAAACGGAAAGTGAATCAATTAACATAATAGACTCCTAATATAACTCAACAAACTCAATTATAACAAACAAATTTTGTATTTTTAGTTATAAAAAAGATTTTCAACCGAAAAATACCTCAAAAACATAGCAATCTTCAGAGAAATTATATAATACATCTGAAGACATAAATTATATTAATTAAAGAAAACATATGAATACATTCATGGCATATAGCGAGACAGTGAATACAATAAAATACATAGAATACAGCGGGATACATTGAAATACAATGAAAAAAAGACAGTGAATACACTGAAATACATGGAATACAACAAGATACATTGAATTACAATGAAAAAAAAGACAATGAATACAATGAAATACATGAAAATACATTGAAATATATTAACAGAAAACCAATTAAATGCCAAGCAGCATACATTGATCTTCCTCAATTTGAATGAGTACTCAGGAAAANAATAACCATATTAATATTTTCAGTTGAATATTTAAGGTAAAATTGCACGGGGCGCCCTATTTGGTCGCCCCCATTTAACCTATACCCATTTTTTTAAAAGTTTTAACTTGTACCCACTTTTTAAACAACTTCAACCCCTTTCTCCTCCTCCTTGTCCTCCTTCATTTTCTTCTTCTTTTTCTTCTTCCTCTTCTTCTTTCTTCTGCTGCTGTTGGTGCTGCTATGAAACTTCAGTTCATGGGATGATTGCCATAAGTATGTTTATCAGATTATTTAAAAATAAATTATAAATAATTACGTAAGTTAGTAGACAATAATTTGTGAATATTTTCACGTAATTATGTTCTTTTCACGTTTACTATTTCCAAAATTTATGATTTACATATTGTTAGCAATCTGATAATTTTATAGTAGTAATACACTATGAAAGAATAAGGTAATTATTTATCTAGTAAGTTAGAAAGCTTTTTCAAAAACTTCAAGTTTTTACAAATGAACTAAATAACTTCAGCATCTTCTGCTGAAGTTTTTGAAAAAGCTTTATGACAAAACTAATGAATCCAGGACAAAAAAAACTTCAGCCTATATAGTGCTGAAGTTTTTACAAATGAACTAAATAACTTCAGCATCTTCTGCTGAAATTTTTGAAAAAGCTTATCTAGGACAAAAAAATTTCAGCTTATTTAGTGCTGAAGTTTTTACAAATGAACTAAATAACTTCAGCATCTTCTACTGAAATTTTTGAAAAAGTCTTAAGACAAAACTAATGAATCCAGGACAAAAAAAACTTCGGTTATTTTAGTGCTGAAGTTTTTACAAATGAACTAAATAACTTCAGCATCTTCTGCTGAAGTTTTTGAAAATTTTTTATGACAAAACTAATAAATCCAGGACAAAAAAACTTCAGCTATTTTAGTGCTGAAGTTTTTACAAATGAACTAAATAACTTCAGCATCTTCTGCTGAAGTTTTTGAAAAAGTTTTATGACAAAACTAATGAATCTAGGACAAAAAAACTTTAGCTATTTTAGTTCTGAAGTTTTTACAAATGAACTAAATAACTTCAGCATCTTATCCAGGACGAAAAAACTTAAGCGTATTGCCTTTGCTACTTCAGGCCCGTCTACTAGAATGCTGAAGTTTTGCGCGATTGCCTTTGCTACTTCAGCTCCGTATGCTGAAGTTACGTGAAAAAGTGGGTACGCTTGCAATTTTTTTTGCAAAGCGGGCACAAGTTAAAACGTGGCCCAGAAAGAGGGTATAGATGCAAATCCCCCGTAACAAGAGTCCTGGCCATGAAGAACAACTGATTCGAATGCAAGTGTTAGATAAGATATTGTTCATTACATGTTTGCACCTCATAAAATCAAAATAAGTAAAATTATTCCACATGCATCTAATTGAACTTTATTGTTCAACTTCATAGATTTTGACGATATCAATCATCCTAACCTTTCCATATCCTTTAATGTACAACTATTTACTCAAAGCTTTATTTACTCAGAGGGTCTACATCTTTCAATGAGCAATTACCTAAATCATATTTGGGTAAACAACATCATGCAACCACTTGCTCGGGGGATGAATAACAACCTTATCCAATCAATGAGGGCCCAGTGGAATCTCCCCCCTCACTATGCTCAAAACACATACCTCCCGCAAAACATGGGCCTGGAACTGCCCTTCTTCCCACCCCAGGAGATGATGGCCTTGAACCCAATCCTAATGAACTGGGAGTTAGCCCAGAACCACATGCAACAGGAGGTTCCAGTGAACCAAGCTCCAATAATTCCACACTTTCAAGAACCTCCAGTAGCTCAAACCCTAGGAAATCCAGGGGAGGAAGAAATGGAGGGGGAGATAGATCTTGTAGGGGAGCATACAGTCGAGGTTTCAAACCTAGACGAAGTAAAAGTATATCTATTCGAGGAGATGAGGGAGAAGAGACTTATTCTTACATGTCCACTCTCACTGTTCAAATGCACAGTGGACATGAGGCCTCCCCAGGACCCAACTGTGGGGAAACTAGCTATGATCCTTGTTATCTCACTAAGAAGGAACCCCATATTCCCACAACCAGTACAAGTCAATGGTCATGTCCTCCCAAATCACCATCAAATGAATCTTGCTAAAAATATAGTTATCTGGAATATAAGAGGTGGTAACAATGGTGAATTTAAACGAAACTTTCATGACTTAATATCCACCCATCACCCATGCATGGTGTCCCTATGATAGAGGTTCCGGCTGAGGGTCAATCAGGAGGCATGGCCTTTATGTGGGATACAAATGTGGTTAATGTAAGCAAGGCGTAACAATGAAATTCATGCACTCATTGAGGTAATTCCTACTCACAAAACTTGGCTCTTTACTACTATTTATGCTAGCACTAGCATGTCTAAAAGAAATACCATGTGGGATAACATTACTAGTATTTTTGATAACTATAAGGGTGCATGGCTCTTAGGTGGGGATCTAAATGATGTCCTGGAAGCCGAAGATAAACTAGGTGGCAATCCTATAAATAGAAGAAGGGCTCTTAAGTTGTGGAACAAAATTAATTATTGCAACCTTATGGATTTAGGATTCAAAGGTGGAAAATTTACGTGGTCTAACAATAATAAGTGCCCTAGTACTAGAATTAAGGAAAGATTGGATAGAGTATTAGCAAATGATGATTGGTTACAAATTTTTCCTAATACTAGTGTAATTCACCTTCCAAGGACTCACTCTGACCATAACCCCATTTTGATAAACATTGTTCCTAAGCCAGCAAACCCTCTCCCTAAACCGTTTAGAATGGAGTCTTATTGGTGTAGACATCCTAAATTCAAAAATATAGTGAGCTCTTGCTGGAGCAATAGAGACTTCGTTCAAGCATCAAACTTGTTTAAAATTAGTATTATTGAATGTAAGAATAATACCTTTGGAGATTTAGTAAAAAAAAAAAATCCTATTAGCCAGATTAAATGGTATTCAAAAGTCACCTTCGTATGGTCATAGCAATTTTCTCCATAATCTTGAACTAAATCTGAAAACTGAGTATAATAATCTCCTAAAAATAGATGAAGATTACTGGAAAATTCGCTCCAGGGTTAACTGGCTAAACGAAGGTGACTCAAATTCCAAGTTCTTCCATATTTGTGCCACTAATAACAAGAGAACCAATAAAATTATGTACTTCAAAAATTCTGATGGTAGCTGGATTGATGACCCTCGTGGCATTTTGAACTATGTTTATAATTTTTTTAGTAATTCCTTCACCACCAATCACAAATCTTCCAATTGGTCTCTGATAAAGGAAAAGTCTACCAGTTACTTAGATATTAACCTCCAAATGTTAGACAATCCCTTTTTCAAAAATGAGCTAAAAAATGCAGTTTTTAGTTTTAAACCTTTTAAATCACCTGGTCCAGACGGCCTCCATCCTTATTTCTTTCAACAACACTGGGATTTGGTGGAAAATTCAGTCACTTATCTCTGTCAAACTACTTTTGAAACTGGCAAGCTTCCTAATGGGATAAATGATACTTATCTGTGCCTTATCCCAAAAATTCCTAATGCCATTTCTCTAAAAAAAACTATAGGCCAATTGGCTTATGTAACACTATTTATAAAATTATCACTAAAACTCTTGCCAATAGACTTAAGCCTTTTTTACAAAATATTATTAGTCCGCACCAATCTAGTTTTTTAAAAAGCGGACGTACTAGTGATAACGCTATTATTATACAAGAGTTAATCTCCAAGATGCATAGACAAAAATATGGGAAACCTTCCCTGGTACTGAAAATCGACCTGGAAAAAGCTTTTGACCGGCTTGAATGGTCTTACATATTCAGAACTCTCAATTACTTTAAATTTCCCCCAAAATTTATCTCCCTAATCATGGAATGTATCACTTCAAGCAGTATAGTAGTCTTAGCCAATGGGAGTAGAAGCAATTTCTTCTGTCCAAGCAGGGGAATTAGACATGGGGATCTCATCTCCCCTTATATCTTTATTTTATGCCTTGAGATGCTCTCTATTAACATAAACCACCAGGTTGACATTGGTAATTGGTCACCAATTAGTCTAGGAAAAAAGAGTTACAAACTATCATACCTTTTTTATGCCGATGATCTTACTTTAATGTGCCAGATTGATAATAAATCCCCTAGAACAATCCTAAAGTGTCTTGAGGATTTTTGTAATCTTTCTGGTCAAAAAATCAATAAGGATAAGTCAAAAATCATCACTTCAAAAAATTGCCCTATAAACACCAAAAAAGATCTTTCCAAAGTTTTTAATATAAATTGTAGTACATCGTTTGGCAAATACCTAGGCTTTCCTATAACAAACACAAAACCTAGACCCTCCGACTACCAATTCATCATCGATAAAATGAACTCTAAATTGTCTTCTTGGAAATCCAAAATCCTTAATATGGCTGGAAGAACTACTTTAGCAAATGCTTCTCTTAATAGTATTCCAAACCATGTTATGCAATATAACTTCCTTCCTATTAAGATTCTCAATAGCATTGACAAAATCTAAAGAAGATTTAATTGGGGCTCATCGACCACCTGTAAAAAGATTCATCTTATATCTTGGGATACTGTAACCAAGGACAAAACTAATGGGGGTATTGGAATCCATGTGGCAAAAGAAAAAAATCTAGTGGCACTAGCAAACCTTACATGGAGAATCCTTCAAAATCCTCTTCTTCCTTGGTCTCAGACCTTAGCATCCCTCTATGGCTCTTCAGAAAACATAAAACATACCTCATTCATCTGGAAGAGTATTATCGAAGGTTGGGAGTTGTGTAACAAAGGGTTGAATTGGATCCCTCACAAAAATTCGTCCATGAATATTTGGGATTCGAACTGGATTCGTAAGGCGAACACCCTTAGAAATATCATTGAGGGACCTATACCTTTAACTACTACAAACCTTAGTATTAAGGATCTTTGGCTTAATAACAAGTGGGATCTCTCAAAAATACCTTTCGAATTACCTTACCATACTAAAAATGCCATCTATTCACTTGAGCCTAATAACTTAAACCATGATACCTACTACTGGAAATTGAATGCTAATGGCAATTTCTCTACTAAATCGTGCTACAGTCTCTTTAATAATGGACATAATAATACTCACTCATTTGATTGGGTTTGGAGTTCAAACTGTCCGAACAAAATTAAATTCCTCTTATGAAAATGCATTCACAGTAGGCTCCCCACCCGGAAATATCTTAGTCATATTGGTATTAATATTGATCCCATATGCCCCACTTGTAAAAAGGGAGAAGAAACTATTGAGCACATTTTCTTGAAATGTGACTCCGTTAAACCTTTCTGGTCTTCACTTGGTATTAATTATTCACAAATTAGGAACTCCAGAGATTGGATCAAATTAACCAGGAACATAAAGACTATTACTTCAACAAATATTCCTCCCTGGGATTTTTTGTTCCCCTTCGTTATTTGGTCCATTTGGTCAAATAGAAACAATAACAACCATAACAATCTTTCTCTAAATTACAGTCACTCCCATGCTATCTCCCTAGCCCTAGAATACTTCCATCTAACATCTAAGGAAGCTGCTTCAACTCATTCCATAGCTATAAAGATTGCTTGGGCCAAACCACCCCATAATTATTTTAAGTTGAACATTGATGGCGCTTTCAAAAGAACGTTGAACATGGGTGGATTAGGAGGGGTCTTCAGAAACCATAGAGGAGATTGGATACTAGGTTTTCAGGATTCAAAACCGTCTACCTCACCACTCCAATCTGAACTGGAAGCACTACGACTTGGGCTCTTGACAGCCGTTCATCATGGACTCTCACCATTGATAGTGGAAACAGATGCAACGGACCTCATCCATGCAGTTTTTTTGAACAAATTGTCTTATACATCAATTATTTCTGACTGCAGGTGGTTAATGCACCAGCTGAGGCACCCGAAAATCATCCATAGCTTCAGGGATGGAAACAAGGTAGCTCATAAAATGGCAAAGGATGGGCTCAAGCATGGAAGGAAGAAACAAGTTTTTGTTAATCCATTGCCCTTAGTATTAAATAATTTAGCAATGAATAAGTATGGTTGTGTGTATTTGACTAAGAAACTAAACTCTACTACTTGTCTTAGTTTAGCCGAAATGGGGAATGTGCATGTCCTCGAGGCTCTTTGTAATGCAGCAGATAATGCTACTGGAACTATGTAACCTGCTTTTAAATTAAATAAAATCTTTTATTCTCAAAAAAAAAAAGCTTTATTTTAATAATATTGATATTATCTGATAAAATCGGAACTATTAATAAAATGCCGAGAAACTAGTTACATCAAATACCTTTATAATATTACTTAACTACAAATACAATCCCTATATTTTAAAATCATTCACTTATAGACCCAATTTTCTTTTCTTCTTGTTTTCGTTCTTTTTCATCCACCCCATTCAAACAATTAAAAGAGTGCGTATGCAGGGTTTAGGGTTTATAATTCTGCAATAGTAGTTCTCAAGAGTGACCCTATCCTTCCTTTTTCGTATTCTTCGTCTACGCCGTAGGCAGACACCAAATCAGGGATGAGAGGCGTACAACTACCATTCAGCAACACCCAAAAGCTAAGATACGAAAGAGCATTGGCGCAGTTGGAATCCCTTTCTTCAAAAGTTAATACCAATGCCACTGTCATTGTCGCCGACACCATCCCCGTCGACGAAGATGGCGCACTCAAGTGCCTACTTCTAATCCTTTTAATTAGTTGTATTTTAGGGCAAATTATGGAAATTGGTATTAATGACTTATTTCTGATTTGATATATATAGGGGACACGGTACATTGGATATGGGTAAGAAAGTGGTAGCAACTGTCTGTGGAGTGGTTGAGCGCGTGAATAAGCTTGTCTATGTTCGATCTTTAAGGGCCAGGTTTGCTGCTGTTAATTAGAATTTTGCTGATTTGTAAGTTCTTAAACTGAAGTTTGAGCTTAAAAATGTTTTTTTTAATACAGGTATAAGCCAGAAATTGGTGATATCATAGTTGGCCGTGTTATTGAGGTAGCCCCATTACTAGATTTTGTATTCCATGTTGTTAGTCTCTTTTCAAATTTCTTTCATTATGGTTGAATTGATTTCGTGTTTGGGCGTTCAATTTGCTGCTAGTCTTACTTCAATTCCTTGTGAAATTTGGGCTATACTTAGAAGACACAACTAGCACAAAACTTGTCGGAATGTTAGAGTTGCTCTTTTTTTGAATTGTTGGTCAGGGGTTAAGGAGTGGAAACAAACTTCCCCATTTTTTTCTTTGAAATAGGGGAGCATCTTGTGCACAGTTCACTTGGAAATTACACTTCTTTCCAACTGTATCCCCAAGTATTTGTAAGCAATAGGAGAGAGTGTTAAATTCATTTTGCTGCTCTTCAGTCATTCCTAGTATGATCATAAAAGAGCTGGTCTTTTTCAGTTTACCATTTGTTCAAAGTACTTATAAGCTGCCACATTAGCTGAGGGTAGCATATTCCTAACCTAAACAGTGCATATTTTTGGTGCTGAATTTCAAAGAAAGGGAATTAGGAGGGCAAAGAGAAAACAAAAACACTTGTGTCCTCCTTTTTTCTGGCCTCCATTTATTTTGGTAAGCAATCAATGAGTTCTTGGGCTCAGATATATATCTTATGATTACTATTATTCTTGATGTTAAGGTTGCTCCAAAGAGATGGAGATTGGAAATTAATTTCAGCCAAGACGCCGTACTAATGCTCTCTTCAATGAATCTGCCAGATGGTATTCAGGTTATTACTTACTATGTACCACTATCCTAATTGAAAGTGATCTCTGGTTTGATTTTGTTCCCATGATGATGGTTATGTTTATTGTATATTTCACAAGTCAAGATAGTGTAATTTGGAGCCTTTGTTGCTTCTTTTCTGCATGTAAAGAAACATTTTTAAGGAATCTGGTAAGTACTGAAATCTGGACCTCCTTTATTCTGTTTCACCCTATATACCCACTTTAACCCTGAGCATACCAAAACCATAGAGAAAAAAGAGCTGAAAAGATTCTCACTATGGCTGCTTTATATCATTTTTCCAAATTGCTCAGTTTAACCTCTGCTCTTTTTCCCTCTGAGGCGTAAAGATAGCCCATTTTACTTTAGGAACATGGATCAACTTTGGTCCACTTTGAAGAAGTTGTCTCGGTATTTTTGGAATTTAAAGTCGCTCGGAACTTCCTTTGGTAACATGAATAGATTAGCCTGTTGAATCTATATCTAAGATAGCATGTATTCTTATAGCCGATCCCAAGTTGCTTCGGATAGAAGCACAGTTGTTGTTGTTGCTGTTATGGATTCACTTCAGCCTGCCAACATAGGATGACTTTTGTCTAGCTTTTAACTCTACCAGAATCTTATTCAAAAGAACAATGTGTTGCCTCAACATTCAAATAGTTAGATCTTGGTAGGCTACAAGTTTCTCAATTCCATTCTCTAAATTTGTCATCTAACAGCACAGTGAATGTATCAGAATAAGTATAAAGTTATATTATTGTTCAATTAAAAAGAATATGCATGAGCCCACTTCCTGAAGCTTCCACTAAAGAGATCTGAAGTTCCTAAGGGTTATTGAAACTAAAGAGTTAGAATAGTGACACGTCTATAGAAGTTGGATATTGTTTTGTGGCACGTGATGAAGAAAAGATTTAGCTTTTGAAGCTTGTCCCATAAAGGAAATATACTTTATTTTCCTTTTCCTTTTTGTTTCCCTGGATATCTAAAATTTGTTGCATTCTTTTAGTCTTACCAAGAGTCATAGTCATAGTCATGCTAAAATTTCATAATTTCTCTTATTTTGTAATTCCAGAGGAGGCGAACTGCAATTGATGAACTCAATATGCGAACCATATTCGTGGAGAATGATGTCATCTGTGTAAGCTCCCTTATTCCTTTGATCATTTGTCAAATTCTTGAAAGGACCATTTAAGGTGTGTCATGCGGTGGAGTGTAATGAATGCAACCATGTCCCATCTCTCCTTTCTATTTGTATGTGCACGTCATGCTCCTTTTCCTTTCAGCAAGTATAATATTCAAAGTGAAATTGCACATCTTCAGGCTGAAGTCCGTGGTTTCCAGCATGATGGCAGTCTACACCTCCAAGCTAGAAGTCAAAAGTATGGAAAGGTGTGTTTTCAGAACTGAAATTAGGACATAAAATTTTGTTTCATAGTTTTTATTGATTATTAGCTTGGAAATGGACACCTTAATTTTCTCTCACCTTTTCTTCTCCCCCTACCTGCTTGACCAAAAGACCTTTGTGTGAGATTTGGACTTGGATACAATATCAACTTCCACAAAGGGGGGGGGGGGTGGGGGGGGGGATATAATTTTGTAGCATTCACAAGGGATTTCATATAGTTAGATTTACGGTTGATAAGAACCATGTATTAAACTTTTTATATTTAATAAGGTGTAAAAGAGTCTTTCATAATAGCTCACATGGAGTTGCTTGCTTGTAGGAAGGAGGAATGTGATTTGTCTGACGAAGTTTTAGAAGTTAATGCTAAATTTCTATGGTCCAAATAGTTTTTGCCCAATATTGTCTGTTATGTTTGGGGTAAATCTAATGTCATTAAAAAAAGTCTGGCGTCATCCTTTAAATATGTACCTGAGCACATATCATCCCTTAAGTTTGCTAAAGTTGAGCAGATTTGGTCCAACTAACACAAGGACACAAACTAAGTCTAAAAACTAGCGGCAGTAACCTGAAAAAAGAAAAAGAAAAACCATCTTGAATCCTTTTCTCAATTTAATTTTTTCCCAAAGCTGCGCTGGAACTTGTGTATACCGTGTCAAAGCTGAAATTGGTGAAGGTTGTTCTGTTGCTAAATTTGACATGCTGTCATTTACTATTTTTGCTGCTGAAATTGTGTTGATGATAAAGCTTAGACTATGTTCTCTCAATTATTTGGTTGTGAGTTCTCCTCGTCTTAATAATTGGTTTGTGAATAGTTCTGACTGCATCCTCAGCTGCATGGTTGAGATGTAATTTTCTTATCTGAAAAATGATTTCCAAGAGGCATCTACTGTCTAAACAATGAGCCAGCTTAGACATCTCTACTGCATCAAGAATAATACATCTGAATATCATCACAAAAGCAGCCTCGTTTGGAAGCTCTGCATTAAAAGATGTTTTGCCTAATGACCTTAAATCATTCCCAGAAAGGCTAAAAATTTGTAGCTCATGAGCCAATCCTTGCTTACACATTTATACTAACGACATCTTACCTTTTCTTCTTTGCATATCGATTACAAATTCATCAGTGTAAAAATATATAGTTACAAAACACGTAGTTGACACTTGACAGATACTACTTCACCTGATAAAAAGGCACATACTACATATATTTCCAATAAACTATCGTCTTTACAAAGCTTCACCAACATAGTATGCATACACGGTACCAAAACTGTCTACTCATATGCCGCCTCCATTCAAAGTCCTATCCTATTGAAACGCAGTCCCCAACAGTTTCAGCATCCAAAAACAGTTTACAGCAGCAGATATCCAATGCAGTATATATAAATTCTATTTAGTGGATATAGTAGCATGACAACTTTAACCTGTTACAGCATAGTATACCAGTGTTTATTTGGGGAAAGGTCGAGTGGAGAAGGATTCATGATAGGATCTAACAGTTGAGCGACGAGTCTTCGAGCTATACTTTTCAGTTGCTGCTCGTCATGTTCTCCCTTTTTGGTGGAGGGAGAGGGGTGAATGGGTAGTCAATTTTACGCCAAAGCTTTAAAGATTTTGTTTGTTAACCCCTTGAATATGTTTCAGAATTCTGACATTGTTTATTAATTTGTTTGAGAAAGTGTGCTCGGATATGTTATTACTTCTAGCTGGTTGAATTCTTCTAAATAGTTCTTTTTTGCTTATAGCTTGAAAGAGGGCGACTACTCACAATCCCTCCATATCTAGTGAAGAGGCGTAAACAGCATTTCCACCATCTAGATCAGTATGGAGTTGACTTGATACTTGGCTGCAATGGATTTATTTGGATTGGGGAACATGTTGAAGTAAAAGATGTCATGGTAGAGGATCAAGTAAATAAGTCTGATCCACAGAACACCCATTCAGGAAGCTTACTCGGTTCTAGTGAAGAACTGACTTCTACACCACCGGAAACAAGACAATATATATGCAGGATAGCAAATGCCATCACGGTATTCGCTGCTTTAGACTTCATGGTTACTTTGGAGGGTGTAATAGAGATGGTTAACTTGAGCTTGTCTTTGAACCTTGGTGTGGATGAGATGCTTAAAGCAGAATTCCATGTTCTAGTTGCTGAGAAAGAAGCTGAACGACGGAGCACGTTGACAAAAAGAAGATAGTAGTTACAAGACATCATTTACATTTGCCTTTCTTGATTTTACTATCAGTTATGCAAGTTAGAAGAGATTAGGAATCCGTTAAACTGAGCTGGGTTGCACTATGTCACCCTTTAATTGAAAAGATAGATTGCTTTTGTGGAAAAGTTTCCTTCTGAAGGTCCTGTTAAATTTACTTCTAATTGATGTGCATTAATTAAGGAATGAGCAGGCTCAGGGTAAAATGTTTTTCTTCCTAGCAACGACATTTACCTTTGTGTTTTTGCTTTCATCGGTCGGTTTGGTATGATTCTGAAAGACTTTGGTTCGGTGGATTTTATTTTCGGTTTTAAAAATGTTTATAACAATACTTTGGTTTTTCAGTGTCGGGTTTGTACAGTATAGTAACTTCGATATTACTCTTTAAAGTTACATTCTATCAACTCAACATGTAATCGTGATTCATGGAATTGATTTTTCTGACTCAAGCAAAAAAGAAAGAAAAAAAAAGAGAAAAAAATAAAACCAAAATGTTAATGATGTTTAATTCTAACTGTTCTTTGCTTGAAAAGAAAAGCAAAGGAAAAACATCCGACATAATAATATTAAAATCCAAATGTCATGGACTATCAAATTTATAACGAATATGTCTGCGGTTACTTAACAAATAAAATTTGGAGTAACAAATTCCACTTACCATTTTAATACTAAAAAAATCTCAGGTTTTAAACTTATTAATCACAACGGCATGGGTGTGTGTGGGTGTGGTGTGTGGGTGGTGGTGGTGGGGGGGGGGTTGTTTACTAGACAAGGCTAGTTCAAACCCAAGGGCATTAAACCAATTGTTTTAAAGCTCAAAAGATGAATGCCCCAAAGACTTAGCGATTTCACTTCAAAATATAACTAAATTAGTGAAATTGCTCGCGCTTCGCGCAGGCATAAAGAAGTTATCATTGTATTACAAAATGATACTTTGATTTTTTTGTGAAAGGAAGAAATGAGAACAAAAATAAAAACTACTAATAAGAAAGTGACAACTAAACTACTGGCAACATTTGACATGTGAAATATTCTTTAGGACATAAAATAACTCAAGAAATATATGATAATTAAAGCGATTTTATAAGATAAAATTCAGATATGACCGACTACCTATGGGATTTTTATAAGTGGTAGCAAATACGAGTCTCAAAATCAAGTTTCCACCATATGCCAAGGCAATTATGTGCAAACATTAAATTGAAAGATTTATGAAATTCATAGACATACATCCCAACTGTCTTCATCACTCATGGGTATAAAAAAAAAAATTTAAAATATGGTAAAATAATAATGCATTCTTTTTATAAAAGAAAATCTGTCTTTACTAATTAGACATCTTTGTATGTTTCGTTTAACATTTTATAAACAAAAGAAAAAACTTAGGCACATAAAGGGAAAAAATCAATAACAGAGATCGAACGACAAAAAAGTAAGAATGCAAGAAATTAGGGGAAGAAGAAATTTTGAAAGCAGCAAGCTTAAAGAGGAAAAGCAAAAGGAAAAGGAGGTAATAACATATGGCTGGTTTCTTTTCCACTTAGCTGGACTCTTGGTCCTTTCAGAGCTAATGATGTCTTCCTACAGCTAACATCTTTCATATTGTCATACCCAATTTCTTCTTTGTGTCATAATATAGTTTACATGATCATCATATTTCCTTCATTTAATAACAGAAAATGGAAAGATATTGGAAATTAAAGGTTTTAGAGACTAAAAACGGGGCACCAGATAGTTGAGAAGCTTTTTGTAACTGAAATAAACACAATAAGATGTAACAACTAGAATAGAAAATGATCGATTTCAATTATTAAAAAAATTATATAAAAAGAATGAAGGGGAAAAGCCAAAAAAGGGATAAAAACAGATAAATAAGATTCTTGGCCAAAAAAAGGTGCCAACTCACCATGTTTATGCCCACTTATATATAAGAAAGAGAGTGTTATGAAACAATAAAAGAACAAGAAGAGTATTGCAGAGAAAAGTAGAGAGAGAGAATTCTTATTGATATTGGATGATTTACAATGGAATAGAACCCTCTATTTATAGGGAGATGGTGACTTAGCCACCAAGCAATGAACCCTAAAATCTCTCTAAATATAGACATTCACCATAAATAAAATTCTATTTATAACACTCCCCCTTGAATGTCTATTCAACAGATAATGTGCCTCGTTAAAACCTTAACTAAAATAAAACCCAGTGGAAAAAAAATTCTAGAGAAGGAAAAAGAGTACACATATCTAATAATACGCCTTTTGGTTGCCTCGTTAAAAACCTTGCAAGGAAAATCCAGTGGGACAAAACCTTGTAAGGGAAAAAGAGTACTACGCGTATTAACTCCCCCTGATGAGAGCATCAATTCACATCCTTAAGCATTTGCATTCCAATCTTGTGCACCATCTTCAAAAGATCTTTGGCAGATATTTGATAAACAAATCGGCCATATTAACTTGAATGAATATATTGCACCTTGAAATCATCATTCTTGATAGAGATGGATTGTCTTCATATGATCTTGTTGGAATCGTCAGTTCAATATCTTCACATAGAAGTGAAAACTCTTGCTATCATATTATCATGCTTATAGTTATAGCAAGATACATTTTTGCACAAATTGCATTAAGGATGTAGTACTTCATGACCATGAATTCTATATGCTTTAAGCAATTTAAATCCTTCAGGGATTGTTAAGTCATATAAGCCATATAATAGACTTTAGATACATATCAAGTTTTCATGTCATGCTAGACATATAAGATATCGAAAACTGATTGCACATACCATTGACTTTGTACTTTCAAGTGTTTGAACTACATGCATGTTCAAAACTACATGTCTTTCATATGAAACCAATTCTATTCGAAATTGTTTCACCAGACTTAAGATCCTCATATATATTTAGCGGTATCATAGATGTCGTCGACGAACATTTTATATCGGTTTCAACATTTTTAATAAAGACATAACATAGAGATCTCTTCATTCATTTCAGGTACCTAAACCTCTATTGAGATTTTATGAAGCATTATGTCATGTGATCTTCTAGATCACTTGTCTCCTTTATTATGATTATTTTGATCATTTGCTCATCTTCTTTATCAAGAAGTTTATTTGAAACCGATTTGTCTATATGCTTTAAGCGTACTATAGACTTTGTCCTTCTAGGACGTATTCTAATAGGAGCATTTGCAATGAGAATATAGTTACTTTCTTTGGGTCAGCAAATGCGTCTGGCATGCTTTGCAATAAATTGCACATGAATTATCCTTTTATGAACTTCAAGTTCATATTATCTTATTCGAGGATCGAGATGTATAAATAATAATTCATTCCATGTAACTTTTTCTCAACTGTTTATCATGTCTCCCCCTCATGTTAGAAAAACTAACTTGTTTCCTCAACTTTGAGAACTCATCTTTGTGCGTTATGGTGTTAATCATAATATACACCGCACATCAATAATAATAAGATGTAATTATTTGGTTCCTGACCCTGAACCACTTGTGAGGGGAGAAAATAATATACTTTCGTATATAACGTATATCAAACTGATATATATAACTTTGTTCTCATAAGCAATAGTTTAGCTATTAAGTGGAGGCACTCAATAAATTATTTTGCTAAACCAACTGTGATGTAAACCAACTTATCAAGATAAACTATCTTGAATAGGAAATCTGGAAATTATGCTCGAAATTAAATTATTGAGCAAGTTACCTCGCAATCACCATGTTGTGGGTTATTAATAATCACACATGTAACCATCTCATAGATGCATCTTATGTGGTATACATGGCGGGTGAATGGGCCCATATTCACCTTTGATATTTCCAGCATTCATGAGATTCAATCCCAATTTTAGTTGGTATATTAATTAATGAGAACAACCAACATAAGAGAATTCGTAAAGAACTTTCTATCTCTTTAATATTTACCCATGTGAATTCTCTTTTATTTTTGCACATCATACTTGAATTAACATGGCTAAACCAATTATGCCAACTGGATAAATTATCAATATTGATAAACTTCAGGTTTACACCATGATGTGTGCAATTATGAATAAACTCCAAGTTTATTATGATANACAGAACTTTTCCATATCATACTGATGAACTTAATTCGCTAAACAACAGAGGACGTTTATTCTAGAGAGGCCATTAGGCTTCCCAATATTGTAGACTGGAAATGCTGCTGCAGAAAGCACAAATACTGAGATAATATATTGTAGAAAGTTCCTTAAGTTCTGCAATGCAAAATCAATGGAAATAATAGGCACTAAATCAATAGCGCAGCTACTGCTTTCAACTGAAGAGAGAAACTTCAGACCAAATCCAGCTGCTAGCCTGTTATAACGACACAGGCACGGCTATAACGACACAGCTGCTATAACAACTACAACACCCATAATCCAAAAAAGAAAGAGCAACACCCATAACAATTTTAAAGCTGCTATATATGACACAATTGAGTACAACTACAGCTGACAACATTAATAACAATACAAAGTAGTAGCAACCTTAAGATTAACAAGTCCAAAGTCCAAACATAATACTAATATTTTAAATTCAAGTAAACAACACAACAACTACTCAATCCTTATAGGCTTCACCAAATTGCGCTCCAAACAACGCTCAACATGCCTCATTAAGGACTTAGTACCAGTTTGTTGTGCATTGTAACATAAAACAAGATGACAATGACTACATCTTACTTTCCACCATCCATCATCACCGTCTTCAATCCTTTCATAGTGACTCCAAACATGTGAGATAGCTTTGAGACCACAAAGTCGAGGCATGGATACACCTATTAAACATAAAAAGAAAATATATTAAGTCAAGTAATATTTGTAATCATACAATGTGTTATATAAGTTGAATAATTAACTTACCAAAGTTTTAACTTACAACTATCTAAGATTCTACACATCATCATCGCAGGGTTCGTTTCCAAGATTGGCAAAATCTATGAGAATATAACTACAGATTTAGCTTAAAATCTTAAAATGAAACAGTATCTACTGACTCTTGCTAATTAATCTACAGAAATTTGAAATTTTTAGCCATGTTTCTACAGAAATGAAACAGTATCTGCTGATTAATCTACAGAAATTTGATATTTTCAGCCATGTTTCTGTGCAGTATCTACTGACTCTTACTACTCATCTAATCAGAAATTTCACACGAGTAGAGAACTAAGAAGACACCAAACAGA